GCCCAGGTCTTATTAGGCAGCTGGACAGAACAAGGTAGTATGGCCTAGCAGTCTAAGGTGCCAATTCCAAATTCTCATCTCTTCTGGGAAGTGGGTTCAAATCCATCTGTTATCAGAAGTTGGGTGTGGTGTACTCTTAACACAAAGAAATAGACTTTCTAGAAAATTAAGGAGGGAAAATTTAAAAGGGAAGATTCTTTGTGTAAATACGTACTCTGAATCTTAGCTGTCCTTTCAGAGGAAATTCGTTTCTTGCCCCCGCTTTATCGATAACACGTCAGCTTTGAAAAAGTAAAGCAATCCAGCTTTGTGTACATAATTCCATATTTTAGACCAGGTAAGCCCCCAACCTTTAATGCCTGTTTTATTTAAATGAATTTTAAATCAAATTCACTTGCGGTACGATAACACAGCCCTAGCCATCTGCACAATATTATGGAAACAATATCTTTATACTGTACCTTGTTGAAGCCGGCTTAAGAAACAGTTACGAAAACAAACCGTCCCTGGGTGGGCTCGAACCACCAACCTTTCGGTTAACAGCCGAACGCGCTAACCGATTGCGCCACAGAGACCTACTGATAGCTCTAAAAAACAAATATAAAAACCAATAGCAGGAGCAGACCCTACACTGCTTCCTTTTTGATTTGCCAATCATTGTATGCTTTGTGATTAATCCAAGAGGAGTAAATCAAATCCAAAGGGTTTTTTTTAATTCACACCCAATTTTCCAAACACTGATAAACGCACCAGAAGAAAAGTGTCAACATTTTACTGACTCTGCCAACTAAGGTAGAATGCATTTATACTTACAAATGAATGCATAAACAGACATATTTTGCAATATTCCATTCCCTGATGTATTAAATGCAAGGATGGGCAGCTACCTCCTGAGATATTTTCCACTTAGAAAGCATCATATACTCAGTATATGATGCATTGGGGGTCTGAGATGACTATGCTAGATTTAATTGAAGGCTAAACAAGCCGGATTCTATGAGCTGATTGGTGGAACTGTAGATAACAGGCATATTCAGGAGTATAAACCAGTGTATTTACTTTCAAGAAAGTGTACAGGATTGCAGCGAACGCCTATAGATATACAGTACCATGTATTCTCAAGAGTAGTCCCACTGAACCCAGTGGACTCTTGAGAAAATGGGTACAATATTGGAATCTAAATCCGACCAGAGAAAAGGGCCTCAGCTGTACTGTTCGTGGCTCAGCTTTAAATAATTGCGTTACCAGTTGGACTAGAGATAAGCAGAGGTGGAAGGGTAAAACAAAGAAAGTTGGCAGCGGTGGGATTCGAACCCACGCCCCCGAAGAGACTGGAGCCTTAATCCAGCGCCTTAGACCGCTCGGCCACGCTACCACCCGGTTGAAAGCTGTCACAGAATAGATGCTCATAAAATAGAATAGAGAGATCGGAGACAACTTTCTTTTTTGTCCAATTCCGATTTATGTCTTTGCTCCTTGGATCAACCTTATGCTTATGATCCTCTTTGAGGGTTTTTAAAGAACAGCTTAAAATAAAGTTAAATGCCATGCTGGCTTAATTCCCTTATCCGAGGAAGAAGACGAATAGCACATGTTTGGATTTCGTAATCTTTCCACGAACCATAATGATGGTTCTTTTCTCCCACGAGAAAGGAGAGGTTGATATTTGCTCCTGCCTGATATCCATTGCGGGGGGAAAATGGAAAAAGTTAACCAAGAGAGAAAGACCACTAGACGAAGCGCTCTGAAATAAAAATCCTCCGGGAGTCCAACAGTGGGCGCCCTTTCCTCCCAGCTAAGGGTAAATGTACGCTCATGTTTACACAGTTCTTCTTTTCCTTATGTTGATGGATAGCAAAACTTTCTCCACGAGCCGGCTCGTTGGTCTAGGGGTATGATTCTCGCTTTGGGTGCGAGAGGTCCCGGGTTCAAATCCCGGACGAGCCCATAGCTTTTTTAAAACACTTCTTAAGCCTTTCTCGTAAAAGTCACAGATATACGTTTTCCAACGCTTTTATGAAAGCATTGCATTTTTTAAACTTATTTGAAAAGGAAAGCTTTTCCGCTGCTATCTAATTCATACTTGCACACCCAAGGGAAGAAAAAGGTGCTGATCTAGAAATCCTAGAAGGCAGTAAAAATGACTGGGAAATTAAATAGGGGCACTCCAGGCGGGAAAAATTTCCTCCAGGTCTCGCTATAACTTCTACTGGACTGATATATACTTCAATAGGCTATGCATATTTAGTGCCACTTAATAAATATCTTGGTTCAGCCATCAACAACTCAAATGAAGAAATCAGAGGGAGTCTGAGAATCGGAAAGGCAACGATGAAGGAATTAGAAATGATCATCAAGTGTAAGGATGTGTCAGCGGAGAAAACATTCTATCATTAAGAGCCCTAATCAGATTTTGTAGACTCAAGGCATTGATTCCTTCTCTGAGTCAATTCTTCTGCCTTCAGATTTCCTGGCATTATTGAAAAAGTCCGGGACGTGATTTTCCCTTTTTGGAACTGTAACAGGAGCCCTGAGAAATGGATTTAAAAACCGGACAATTTGAATTTCTCAGTCATTATCTTCTCTGAAGGATGCAACACTTCTGTAATTAGATTTGCAAGAATGGCAAGTGGTTCCACAAGCATCACCAAAAACTGTTCCGTCGAAGTGCGTTCTCGCAGGCGTTGGTGGTATAGTGGTGAGCATAGCTGCCTTCCAAGCAGTTGACCCGGGTTCGATTCCCGGCCAACGCAGGTTACTTTTTTTTTGTGACATGGGTGTAAGTCCTTTTTTACATTTTCTTCTTGAAAGGCTGAAAAATGAAATGTAGTGTTGTCTTTCACAGAAAAACAAAAAGCCAACCAGAGAGGATGTGTGAACTATTTTTACACGCTTTTCCAATTCGTTTGCTATGCAAATAACCGAACATGTTACTAGAATAATGACTACTCGCCTGTAAGCAAAGTTAGGTTGGCAATTAATTCCATCAGCTATGCTGCTGGGGAAGCCAAAAGCAAAGGAGTGTAATACCTTTATCAGACCACAGATACCTCAAACAACAACAACAACAACAAAACAGGCTGTTTTTCGTTTGTGTTTTTCAAAAACAGACACAGGATTGCAATTTTTTAAAAGAGTGTAATGCTCTAATAAAAGTAGCACCCATCCTTGCTTTTGGTCTTCTAAAAAGACCCAGAAAACTTTTCCTCATAATTTTATTTACTGGAGGGGGGAGCTGTTCACTGATTCAGCTCACAATTGAGCCACAGAACCATGTTTGACCGCATACGAATGAAAGCTGCTTAAAAACGGGAATAAAAATTCAATACAAAATTTGAAGACTAAAAGAAGTGGCCCGTACGGGGATCGAACCCGCGACCTTGGCGTTATTAGCACCACGCTCTAACCAACTGAGCTAACCGGCCAGACGGGTTAAAGCTTCTTAGAAAATACAGGTCTATTGACTGAAGTACAGTACAATCAAAATTGCTAATACTGTACTGTATTCCACTTCCTAACTTGGGGGAAGTATCGCTAGATGGTGCTAAATCCCTATGTCTATGAAATACCTAGTGCTGCCTTAGAAACTTTCCAGAAAATAAAGTGTTCTGACCACTCTCGCCTTAAGGAGGAACTGCTGGTTCTCAATTCCCAGCAACACAAAACTCTCAACATACAGTACAGTGGACCCTCTACTTAAGGAATTAATCCGTGTACTTTATTTGAGGAACGCGAGGCCTTTACTGAGCAATTAATATGGCAAATTAAAATGGAATTTTAGTGAGGGGTTCTGCCCGTAGGCAGTAAAAAATGTTGCAGAAGGTGGTTTAGTAAGTGAAACAATGAAATCGTTTAAAGTGCAGAAGTCAGTACATTGCATATCAATTTGGCTTCTACAGAAAAAAAACACAGGAAGGCTGAGGGCTGGACCCAAATCAAAACAATGGTTCAGGAAGAAAAATTTGGATTTACTGGGTGTGGAAAATCCTCCCTCCCACCTGAAACTTTAGGTAGGTCAAGGTCCAAGTAACTTAAGTACAACGACCTCCCTGGAAATTTAGACATGATTTAAATGTAAATCATTTTCTCTAGGTGGCGTTAAAACTGTGATCAGGAAACGTTCTTGCATTATCAAGAGGCTCTTAAATGTATGTTCTGCAACAAACCTGGCTGTTTTGTAAGTGTAGCAAGATATGACATACATCTGGACTACAAGATGTAGACCAACCCTAAACACTGAAGATAACTGCGAGAACTGTTTTGCTGAGAAAGTGAATGGTACTACAGCTGGAGTGTGGGCTGTAATGTAGCAGTCTGGAAGAGAATAGTAGCAAATAAGGGTGTCTCTTGAGATGTTGCTGGATTGCAAGTGGTGTATCTGTTAGAAGATCCTTCATGGCCAAAGGTTTTAAGTGCCTGGATCTCCGAATGAGTGAAAAGAAATTGCAATGACTAAAATGTCGAAAAGAAAAAGTAAGAGTTAGGCAAGATCATGGTGAGAGCTCTTTTTTTGAGGAAGTGGGTGGCTCTTAAAAGAGCCTTTGTGTCTGTTTGTAAGGGTGGTTGGTCTACTTGGAGCTGGTGTACTTGGTGACGGCCTTGGTGCCCTCGGAGACGGCGTGCTTGGCCAGCTCTCCGGGCAGGAGGAGCCTGACGGCGGTCTGGATCTCCCGGGAGGTGATGGTGGAGCGCTTGTTGTAATGGGCGAGGCGGGAGGCCTCGGCGGCGATGCGCTCGAAGATGTCGTTGACGAAGGAGTTCATGATGCTCATGGCCTTGGAGGAGATGCCGGTGTCCGGGTGGACCTGCTTGAGGACCTTGTAGACGTAGATGGAGTAGCTCTCCTTGCGGCTCTTCTTGCGCTTCTTGTCGCCCTTCTTCTGCGTCTTGGTGATGGCCTTCTTGGAGCCCTTCTTGGGCACCGGGGCGGACTTCGCAGGCTCAGGCATCTTCAGCGATCAGAACAACAGCAATACCCCTAAGCAGTCAGAAGACACTGCATGAGTGAGCGGCCGGCTCGCGTTTATTTATAGGCCTTGTATGCAAATGAAGCCTTCCATAGTTCTTCATTCCTATTGGATAGCCAGCGTTCTACGCTCCCGCCATTGGCAAAGAGGACAGAAAAACCTTAAGCAATTCAAAGGGAGCGCTCTTATTGGTTGATCAGCCAAGCCGGCGTTTCTTATTGGTCCGTTTGAGAACGGCGGTTTCTCATTGGCTAGCGTCTTGGTACGGTAGGTCGCTTGCTTTTCCCGGGCTTTTCCAGAGGGCGAAGGCCAAGACCCGCTCCTCCCGGGCCGGCCTGCAGTTCCCGGTGGGTCGCGTCCACCGCCTGCTGCGGAAGGGCAACTACGCCGAGCGGGTGGGCGCCGGGGCCCCCGTCTACCTGGCCGCCGTCCTCGAGTACCTGACGGCCGAGATCCTCGAGCTGGCCGGCAACGCCGCCCGGGACAACAAGAAGACCCGCATCATCCCCCGCCACCTCCAGCTCGCCATCCGCAACGACGAGGAGCTCAACAAGCTGCTGGGGAAAGTCACCATCGCCCAGGGAGGCGTCTTGCCCAACATCCAGGCTGTCTTGTTGCCCAAGAAGACCGAGAGCCACAAGGCGAAGAGCAAGTAAAAAACTGACCACACCGAACTCCAAAGGCTCTTTTAAGAGCCACCCACATTCTCTTTAAATGAGCTGGTTTTCTCCTCGTTGTGCAGTAACTTTTTGGGAGGGTTTGCTGAAGGGTATAACAGTGTCTCTTGGAGGAATGAATGGGCAGCAAAACCACTCCGATAAACTCGTTACATTTTAAAACTAGCATAAATCTCTAGACCCTTAATCCACCCTAACTGGGGGGATCTTGTAACGAATGGGTGTATTTGCCAGAAATACCATTTTAAAACTAGCATAAATCTCTAGACCCTTAATCCACCCTAACTGGGGGGGGGGATCTTGTAAGGAATGGGTGTCTTTGCCAGAAATACCGGAGGATTTCTTGGTTAAAAGGCCGGTACAAGCCGAAACTGCACCTTCCGACATGTACAGCTTTATCTTTTCAGAGTAACCTACTGCAAGTCCTTCCTATATTACACCCTTTGGGTTTGTAACGGATCGTTTTTGAATAGTTGGGATTTATGATCGGTCACTCATCAGTTAATATAATATTACTTTTCACAAAGGTGTTGCTTCTTTCCACCACGGAGCTGAGATTAGCAGTCGCCTATTTATCTCAAAATGGAATTATTAATATTACTTTTCACAAAGGTGTTGCTTCCTTCCACCACGGAGCTGAGATTACCAGTCGCCTGTTTATCTCAAAATGGAATTAAGATTGCCAGGAGAAATATCAGCAACCTCAGATATGCAGATAATACCACTCTGATGGCAGAAAGTGAGGAGGAATTAAACAACCTCGTAATGAGGGTGAAAGAGGAGAGCACAAAAAATAATCTGAAGCTCAACATCCAAAAAAAGTAAGATCATGGCCACTGGTCCCATCACCTCCTGGCAAATAGAAGGGGAAGATATGGAGGTAGTGATAGATTTTACCTTCTTGGGCTCCATGATCACTGCTGATGGGGACAGCAGCCATGAAAATAAAAGGCGCCTCCTGGGGAGGAAAGCAATGACAAACCTAGACAGCATCATAAAAAACAGAGACATCACCTTGCCGGCAAAGGTCCGCATAGTCAAAGCTATGGTTTTTTCCAGTAGCAATGTATGGAAGTGAGAGCTGGACCATAAAGAAAGCTGATCGCCAAAGAATTGATGGCTTTGAATTGTGATGCTGGAGGAGACTCTTGAGAATCCCCTGGACTGCAAGGAGATGAAACCTATCAATTTTGAAGGAAATTTGCAAAATGAACCTGTGAAGTATATTAGGCTGCTTACAACTAATTAATACACTCATTAAAAAAATCAGGAACATTGGTTTATTAATCTGTTGCTTACATCCTTTTCAGTTCAAAAACTGACGAGGGAGATTTTATTTCAGATGTGTATTTATAAGCGAATGTAACAACAAATAACATTGCAAAGAGAATTGCTAATTTGTAACAAAGCAGAAATGGTAGGGAAGCAAAACTTTTGTAAAATTCTTCTCTTTTAGAGAATTGCAGTTCACAGATGGCAGCGTACTGACGAGGTGGCCGAGTGGTTAAGGCGATGGACTGCTAATCCATTGTGCTCTGCACGCGTGGGTTCGAATCCCACCTTCGTCGACAATGTTTTTCCCTACTCTATATAAATACTTCTTTATTTACACGCGATACAGTACATATCTTGAAATGAAAAGCACATAGACAAGTTCTATATGCATTTAGCCCATGCAAAGTACAACTACCTGCAATCCATAGGAGGGATTTTCAGTTTATTTCAACAATCTGTTGAAATAAATCTGTAGTCAGCTTCACAGAAAGTTTCCTCTGATCCGATAAAGTCCCATCGGTTGCCTCATGTCTGTATTGTGCTAAATTTTCGAAATCGAAAAATCGAATGGCCGGATTTTATATTTTATTCATGCCGGCCATGAATCTGAACGTGAAACTCCTTTTCTTATTGTAAGCGTTTGTGCTAAGCTGTTACTTTTTAAATACTGTAATTGCCCTTTGTAGGGAAATGAATTACTGTAACTAAAAAGGTCAACCGCCCGAGCAGGGACTTGAACCCTGGACCCTCAGATTAAAAGTCTGATGCTCTACCGACTGAGCTACCCGGGCTTCCGGTTAAAGAGTTTCAATACTCCATTGAAATAGAAATCGACCAATAATAAATTATTTCCAAACTTTTGACTCACAGATTCCCACATCTTCTCTCATGTTGTGCTCCTTTGCACCAACTTTTTTAGAAAAAGACAAGGGAAATAAGCGAGTTTTAGAATAATTAACCCGAAAACATGAGGCTGTAAATCGTCTTGACCAATGTTTTCAGTGCCTCTCAATCTTGTCAAAAGGGTAAAAGGGAAAAAAAAATAAAAAATAAAAGTAAGGACAGCATGCATCGTTTTAACAGGCCCTCCTTCTTTCCTTCATCCATGGAGAGAGAAGAAAGCTTGTAAAATCACGTCCTCTTAAAACTTGCATTGAATCCACTCTCCTCCTATTGGATTCATTAAAACGTTTTGTTTAATACAATCAGCCTCTTAAAAACCAAAGACGATAATGTGAGGAAAAACTGAAGTCATTTCTAAATCTGAAGCGATTTGTCTTCGCAGAGCAACAAAAGTAGATTACTTTTGAAGACATGGAGGCGGTTGATTAGATTACCGGGTGTTAAATAAGCACCACCCCCCAAGGTGTGCGTCTGTGGGGGGAGATTATCAATCAGGGTATTCAGCATTTCGCACCCTGAATCGCCATAGGCAGGAAAGATGGAGCTATTGGTCTCTTTGTTAAGGCTGAACCTATTTTTCCTCGCCCAAAGACCTGAGATCACAAAATTCCTGTCTTCTGCTCCCACCCTTAGGTGTGGTTCTAATTGCTGTGCTCAGCATGACGGAGAGAGAGAAAAAAAACACAACTTTTACATTCTTGGCTCCTGGAGCTTTCAAAATACACCATTTTGCAATATTTCTCCTAGTTCCATAGGCTTCTTGAAGTTGCACTCCGCAAAATTTAACTTTTCCCATTGTGGCTGTCTCTTCAGATACCGCGAAATTGCAGGCCCTCCTTCTTTCCTTCATCCATGGAGAGAGAAGAAAGCTTGTAAAATCACGTCCTCTTAAAACTTGCATTGAATCCACTCTCCTCCTATTGGATTCATTAAAACGTTTTGTTTAATACAATCACCACCGGGAGTCTTCCAGCCTCTTAAAAACCAAAGACGATAATGTGAGGAAAAACTGAAGTCATTTCTAAATCTGAAGCGATTTGTCTTCGCAGAGCAACAAAAGTAGATTACTTTTGAAGACATGGAGGCGGTTGATTAGATTACCGGGTGTTAAATAAGCACCCCCCCCCAAGGTGTGGGTCTGTGGGGGGAGATTATCATTCAGGGCATTCAGCATTTCGCACCCTGAATCGCCATGGGCAGGAAAGATGGAGCTATTGGTTTCTTTGTTAAGGCTGAACCTATTTTTCCTCGCCCAGGATTGCTAAAGGACCTGAGATCACAATATTCCTGTCTTCTGCTCCCACCCTTAGGTGTGGTTCTAATTGCTGTGCTCAGCATGACGGAGAGAGAGAAAAAAAACACAACTTTTACATTCTTGGCTCCTGGAGCTTTCAAAATACACCATTTTGCAATATTTCTCCTAGTTCCATAGGCTTCTTGAAGTTGCACTCCGCAAAATTTAACTTTTCCCATTGTGGCTGTCTCTTCAGATACCGCGAAATTGCAGCCTCCTTACCCCTGAATGCTTGTTACCTGAAATCATCCGAAGTTTTTTTTTTCTGGACCCATGTTGAGCTAAAGTTGCTCTTTGGAAAAAGTTTAAGCTTTTACGCTAAGGATCTTAACCAGCCCTTTTGGTCTCTTCATTGTAAGACCACCTGTCCTCTTCCTGGCATGCCACCCGAAAAATCACTATTTTGAAACATCTCATCTTCTGAGATGTGGTAAGAAGCTACTCAAATCAGTGTGTACTCATTGCTCCATAGCAATAAGTATTGGGACGCCATGAAGACTGCTGTTCTTGTATGCTTTCAAGTCAATCCCAACAATGGCAACACTCTCAAAAATTGGCTTCCAAAGCCCTCTTCAATGCGTACAAACTCAAAGCTATGGCTTCCTTTATGGAGACAATCCATCGCATATTTGGCCTTCCTCTTTTTCTACTGCCCTCAGCTTTTTAAAAATCTCATTATTGTCCTTTTCCCCCCTGGAACTTTTCCTCACTGTCCTGTTTTCACAACAGGACACAAAAATCAGGGATACAGTTGTGTGGATGACCTTGGCTTTGTTCCCCAGTGACATATCCTACACTTCAAGATCTTTTGTGTACTGTCAGCATTAAAGTGATGTAGTTGTGTTGTAGTCATGATTTTTGCCTTACTTAATGTTCAACTCATCAGCAAGTTTACAGTGCAATGTTTCTGGATAGGAAGGAGTAGCCAACAACACTCCATTGCCCTGGGGATGACCAAGTGTGTTCACAATGCTTTCCACTCTTCAGTGAGGCTCCTTCTATGTCCCCATTTATGTCCATGACGTTTATGTCCTACCACATGTACTAAGGAAGATCTAGTGAAGGACTGAAATAGCCTGCTTTTGGTCAAAAGCAGCCTGATCATTTTAACATTTTTAATTTGTTTGAAATTTGTCTACATTTTATATACATCCATAATTTTACCTTGTGCAACAGACTGATACAAATAAAGAAAGAATATTCAGCTGACATCCTGCTTTTGTCTTCTTTGACCTTCATCAGGAGTCATTTCAAGTCACTGATCTTTTCTGCCAGTGATATGGTGTCATCTGCATATCTTCATGCTTCTTCTACTGTTGTTCACGCCTCCTTTATCTGTGGCTTTCTATAGGATTATTTTCTGCAGACAGATGGAACAGACAGGGAGATAAAATTCACTCTTGTCTGGCACTTCTGTCTATGGGAAGCCAATCTATTTTTTCCCCATATTCTCTCCTAAAAGTAGTGTCTTGTCCACAATCCAGGTTATGCATCAGGACGATGAAGTGTTGTTGAAACACAACCATTTCTTTTAAAATAATCCATAACATCTCACGATCCACTCTGTCAAAGACTTTGCTGTAGTCTGTAAAGCAAAAATGGAGCTTCTTCTGCAAGATGATCTTGTATTTGACCTAAATTGTGGTGGATCATAGCCTATTTAAATAGATTTGTGTTAGTTTTTAAGGTATTGCAAGAGCTCTCTAAAGCTCTTCCATAACAACTCTGAAGTAGTCCAAATGCAGGAGAAG